AAGAAATGGATAAGATGGTCTCGCAACCAAGAACGGGTTCGGAAGCCAGTTATGCGAGGGGAAGGTATTAGCACCCCTCGCATCCATCGTACTCGATGGGAACCATTTGTTTGTCGACATGTGAATTTATTTGCTTAAATGTTATGTTATAAAAGTGTTTTCCAAAGGGTAAAGAAAGAGGGTTTAGAAACTAAGAAATGAGGCAACAGGGAAGAAGAGATAAAGGTTGAACTCGGTAGGACTTCGCGGTCCTAGGCCTACGTATTCTCAACGGATATGAGAAAATCAGAGTCGACGTAGTTCGGGGAACTACAGATATAAGGGGGAATGTGCTCGGCAAGGATTGTGGCCTTTGTGCCTACGTATCTTTACTTGAAAAAAGTAAAGAATCAGAGCAGCCGTAGTTCGGCCTACGATTTGTTGATGTTTTTATGGATGATGCTATCGTACGCATTCTAGCAGTTAGGTGTATTGCTGCTCGCTCGTTGGAGACTTAGGCATTACCTGTTTGCGGTAGAATGGACGTATCATATCCTTTTCGAAAGATAAGTTTTCGCCATGCGAGGCAAGATGTCACATTTGATTTGTTGAATTGTTTTTTTTAGGGGCGAGATAGGTCCTCGGATAGTAACCCCTACGGGTAGTACCCAATTCTTTATCTCAAAGTTTTTTGTTATGAAAGGGTGTGGCGAACATAGCGTCTTCGTATTGAAAGACGAGTATCAAAACCACACACACTACAGTGAGCATCTCGACACTCAGAGAGGAAGAAGTCTACACTTAATCCTTTCACTTTAGTTCAATACAAAGAGAGCTTCATTCTCTTATTAAAGTGTTTTTGGTTTTAAATGGTAAGCGCTTTTGCGACAGAGAACCCTACGGTAAACGTCAGCACTCGGGATAGGAGAAGGCCTACGCCTAACCACTCCACGACCATTCAAGTTTTTGTTATGAAAAGAGTTTAAAAATGCGCTCGGTACGGGACCGAGGTTTTTAGGTGACAAAGGTTACGGAAAGAAGTTGTAGAGGGAGATAGGTGGCGGATAAAGTCACGTCTTCGTATTGAAAGACGAGTATCGAGACCACCCACACTACAGTGAATATCCCAACACTCGAAGAGGAAGAAGTCTACACTCAATCCTCTCTCTTTAGTTCAATACCAAGAGAATCGATTTATTTATTGTAAGTGTTTTTGAAAATGCACTCGGTACGGGGCCGAGGTTTTTTAGGAGAAAAAGGTGTGGATGAAAACGTGTTCGTATTGAAAGACAAGTATCAAGACCACCCACACTACAGTGAGTATCTCGACGCTCGGAAAGGAAGAAGTCTACACTCAATCCATTCTCTTTAGTTCAATACAAAGAGAACTTTACCCTTTTATTAAATATGGTGAATTGACTTAACAATCGTTTGAGAAAATCCGCTTGACATTGGGTCAAGGGTTTAATTGCTTAAAAAGGTTTGAGGTGATACGAACAAGGTCGATGGCGGACGCACAAGGCGGCCGACTTACATGGTCGAAAATGGCTCGATAAAATCGAGAGTTTGTTTTTTTTTTAAAATGGTTATGTAATCAAGAGTCAACAAAGACAATAGCAATATTCACACTAAAACCATGCAAACATATGGGTTAGTCGACAAAAAAAATCGAGACATGCAAAAAAAACGGCGAACTCCTTGAAAAAAATTTTTTAGGTAAGAACAACAAGAAAATAAAATAAGCAAACTGATCAGTTCGCGCCGCAAAGGGTGTTCGCGCCGCGAACTGAGAAAAGTTTTGATTCTGTTTTTGACAGTTCGCGCCGCGAACTGAAGCGAAAAATACAGTATTTGCTGTATTTTTTGCTGTCTTTTGTGATTTTCTTCCTTTTTATTGGTTCTTAAAAAATGTTTTTTTTGGTCCCCTTAGAATCTTACATGGTATACTTAGTACAACAACACTTAAGATAAAAGACAAATGCAAGATATAAAGAGGGAAAAGTTTAAAGAAATGGATACCCCAAGAGCTTTTATCCTTCTCGCGAATACTCCTCTGGTTTTGGTTGGCTGTGCTCCCCCTCTTCACTCTATATGGTGAAAGTTTTGATCTTCAAGGGTTCCTTGTCTTTCTATGGAACTCTTTTTTTGGTTTTCTCTTTTACTATTTTTCCGGTTTTCTTTGCAATGTGTGTTGCTCTCACTATTTTCTGTTTTTCTCTTCTCTCTTACTCTCTCAATGTTGTGTATGTGAATGATAGTGAATGTCCTTTTGTGTAGCCTCCAAGCCTTTTGTTGACAGCCCCTTTCCCCTCTCATCTCACTTTTTCTGCTGCATTTTCTGCTGTACCAAACCAATGGCTCTTGCACAAGCTTCAATTTTCAGAATTTCCATTCTTGGCAACAATTATGGCCACTTTCTTGGTGCAGCCCCACTTTTTCTACTTCTAGTATGCTGCTTTTGCTGTATTTTTTTGCAGCACTCCACCTTTCTATTCATCCTTGTACCCATTGGTTGGTTGATTTGTTTGGACATACTCATGTAGTCAATACACTGCCTTTTGGACATCATTTTCAAATTCTGATTTTTGATGTGTAGATGTATCAACATAAGCTTATAGCCTTGGTTTTGTGACATAAAATGATTTTGTAATATGATACACATTGCCACTTCTTGCATGAGGCTGTTTTGGATTGCATTTATATTGCTCATGGTTGAACATGCATGGTATTGATCTTGAGATATTCCAACATTGAAGTAGCTCTTAAATATTTTCCTTGCATGTTTGTAAGCACAAAGAGGGTCATGTGGACTTGATGGAGCATGGGGGATACCATGACATGAAGTTATTTTTAGAAACTTGAATTAAGATTAGAAATAACTTAATTTTCTAAGTATTACCAAGAGTTTGGATTTTGTAACAAGTGTGACATTCTTGCAAATGTCATGAAATTTTCTTTGTAATATTCTTGAATCTAGCCTTGAATTCATGAATCTTGAATTTGGAATTATGGGCTTCCCTTATGTCATTGAATTTGAAGAAATGAGTCAATCCTTGAAAGAGGACAAATTTTGGGGTGCAACACACACCTCACAAAATCACATACTTGAACACATGAATATGCCTATTTTTTTAAGGGTAAAATGACATTTTTTTAAGGGTAAGGTGCATGTTGTTGGGAGCTTGAATAACATAGAATATATGGAGTGAAGTTGTTGTCATAACATGATTAATATATGTCCATCCACATGAATAAACTTCAATATTGAATAGAAAATGTGATAAAAATATCAGATAAAATTAAATAAAAAATTCATTATGATGGATCCTTAAGAATGATTATGAGTCAAAGATGAACTCATTACCTCTTGTAGTGCCTAAATTATGATCATCGAAACATATTGATCACAATCACATTATCAACAACATCTACACTTATTCCACGCGAACAAAATCTACAACAAACCCCAATTTGAAAGCCTATGTGCAGATCTATTGGAGCATATGACCACAGACAACAAACTCTTATTCATTCCAACAAACTCTTATTCATTCGTAGATTAGTTTCCAACATCTGCTTTTACACCAGCTGCTTTGACATGCGTAAACGCAATAGATTTGAGTACAACATCAAGGTGCGCCATATTTAAGGTTAACCATAACAAAAAATATTCAAAACTTGTCAAAATTCAACTTTGAAATAATTCAAAAAATACACTTTCAAATGACATTTATCAAAAATTCAAAAACGTATTTCCAATCAGTTGTTTTCAACCTTAAATTAATGTAAATAATGAGAAAAAAAATACATGTACATTATCTTAAATTCTAACTTCTTTTACACATATTAATGTGAAAAAACAAATAAATGTTATTTTTAAGTAGAAAGTTTGATTGAATGTGGAAGGAGATTTTAATAAAATTTGAAGAATGATGTTTTTGATCATGAGTGAAATAAACATGCAAAGTGATATTTTATTAAATTTCTTGCTTGATATTTTCGATAATGCATTTTCAAAATTGCCACTAACATACAAAAGTGGCATTTGTTCAAATTTCCACTTGACAAATTCAAAAGTATAGTCATTGAGTTGGTGTGTTCAAATATACACTTCCAGACTAATATTTGAGAAAAGTAAAGGTGTGTCTCTTAAGGACATATTTTGATAAGAAATGAGTGCGTATAAAAACATACTTTCAAATTTCTAAAATCATTTTTTTTATATGGTGCTTCTCCACCATATAGGATGGAAGAAATAATCCCCACTCATAAATACTACAGTGAAATAAATAATCAACTTAAATTTTAAAGTAGTTTTTGGTACAAATGAGAAAAGAAAAAGAAAAAAAAAATCAGAAAATTATCTAAAAATAGTCTTACTGAAATCATCTAATAGAAGAGTCATGATTGTATTAGAAAACTCCGTAAAAGACCAAAGTGGTAATTATAACATGAGACTCTGCAATAAAAAACCGTAAACCGCATCATTACCCTCGCATGCTAAATTTTAAAGTATGAATATCTCTCGTCTCCATCCTTCATTTTGCACTATCTAAACTAACCTTTTTCACGAAGAAATTAAAGGGTGTGTACAGCTTATTAATTAGTGGAATGTCATCCTAAATTAATTAACTACTCAATCTCGAATATTCCACCATATAACTGAATCCACATTAAAGTTAAAAATGAACAAAAACTCGGATCAGTTTGATTGCATTTCATACAATACATTAACTAGTTCAAATTTACAATATGAGCACATAAATAAATAAGTTTTATAAGATCAACAATGAGTCAACAACAAAAACACCCTCCTCTCTTGTCACACCCTTCTTCCAATCCATGATCAATACCATCCTCTCTTTTCTGAAAAACCATCATAAACATGATAAAGTCATCAATTGATATAATCTGAATCACCATTTTTGTCCTTAATAATTAAAATTTCTAACAATAATACAAAACACAGGAACAAAATTAAAAGAGAGTTTGAATTGGACCTTGTTGGAAATAGAAGAAAACTAAACATCCTTGGCAATGAGTTCACCATTCAACAACTCTCTGTAAGCAGCAATAGGCCAACTGAAGCCTCTAAAAACCAACCTAGAAGCAAGTGGAACATCAATAATAATCTCTTTCTGAGTCGGTTTCTTCTCACCACGGATCGCAATCAAGTAACTCCTTCCCACCCATCCAATCCATCCCGCAATATACAGAAACAAAATCCCCGGAGTGATAAACTCACCCCAATGTCTCTGATCACCGCTCACAATCAAATGAGGTAGCCCGTCAGCGCCACACAACAGGCCTTGTTTCGCATAATTGTCGAACCTTCTCTTCGTTTTCTCAATCGTCGCGTTTATCGCCAGCGCCGGAGCGCTGTCGGGAGCGTAAAGTTTGAGAGAGGACTCGAGTTTTTTGATTGACTGTTTTTCACGTTTGGCGAACTGTTTTGATTCTTTGCAGGGGGTTAAGCCGGAGATGTCGGCGACGGCGGGGAGTGGGGAGGAGATGAGGATTGAGGAGAGGGCTAGTGCAGCGGAGAAGGCTTTTAGATTTGAGTTTGCATGGTCGGGTTGGTTGTTTGGGGTTTGGTTTGTGCTGCAGTGGATGATGATGCTGTTGGTGGAGAGTTTTGGTTTTTGGGTGAGTTTGGGTCTTAGGGTTGATGTGGGTTTGGAGAGGTTAGTTGGAATGGTGAGAGACATTTTTTTGTGAGGAAGAAGAACGGTGTGTTTGTGTGTGATGGATCTGATTTGTGTGATGATATTGGAAAGAGAAGAAGAGAAGGTTTCTAGATTCTGTGTGGAGAGAAATTGATGGTGGGAAAAATGGATTTTGGATAAGGTGAGAGAAGTGAAGTTGCTGAGATGGATTGTTGTTATTGGTTTGGATTTGTGATACTTTGTGTTTTGTTATCTCACTTGGGTTGGATAAGAGATTTGAGATTTTGTGAAATTGTGTGTGTCTCTCATGGAGTTGAGATTTTAAGTGCTTTTGTTTGATGGAAATCAAACGGTGTTAATTTTTTCAATGTTTTTAAATTTTCTTTATGGATTTTTATTAAATATAATAAAGATTAAGCTTAATTAATCTTTTGCTTTCTTAATTTAATTATTTTATTAATTGAATTATAAAAAAACTTACACTTTGATATTTTCTACGATATTGAATATCGATTACACAAAATATTAATACTCCATTCAATCTAACATTAAATCATCAATACAATTTTTTTTTATATTCTTCTCCTTATTCTTTTTCATATTATTTATTATCTTTATCCAAAAGTTCGAAAAATCAATAAAGTTTTTGACATAAAATTTTTTTTTACACTAAAGAGTACAATAATAAGATGGAAAGTCTAACGGACATATATTGGTGAGGGGAGAATAAACTTAATAGAGTTTAATGAAGTTATGTTGGCTAAGTAAATACGGACACTCCACTTTGATCCTCAATTTCTGGTGGCCAAGGTTTTAAAAGGCAAGCATCATTCTAACAAGAATATTCTGAATGCAACCATAGGTCAAAACCCTAACTATCTATGGAGAAGCCTAACTCATACAATATGGATTATTAGGAAATGTAGTTGTTGGAACATTGGTAATGAAAGTAAGTTTAACATTTTAGAAGACAACTGGATTCCCTCCCATTGTAGGTTTAAAATCCTAACATAAAGGCTCTTGGAAACAATGACCCTAAAAGTTAGGGACCTCATTGATAGGGAGAACAAATGTTGGAACCAAAATGTGTTAAACAATAATTTTATAACCATAGACAAAATAGACATCAACAACATCCATTTAAACAACCCTAATGAAGAGGATTGCCTTAGCTGGAATCATAGTAATGATGGGATGTACACTGTTAAATCTGGGTATCATGGCATCATAGAGTGGAAGGACAGACAGGAGGAGGAAAGCTCCAACAAATATGTGGAGAAGGAAGTGTAGAAGAAGGTGCGGACTGGCAATGTCCCACCTAGGAAACAATTTCTCCTATGGAGACTGCTTTCTAACTTGCTGCCAATCAAAAGTAACCTTAGTAAAAGGAATATTCCTATGTACTACATATGCCCTAGGTACAAGGAAACGATAGAAACGTTGGACCATTGCTTTATGAACTGCTGGTGGGCGAAGTATGTTTGGTTTAGTTTCCCCCTTAACATAAATTTCAACAATATAAAGCAAACACACTTCATGGATTGGTGCATAAATAACTTTGGAAAAATGACACAAGTTCAGATCAATATGTTTATTCATATATTATACACTAAATGGAATGCGAGATATAAAGCTATATTTGAAAATAGAAACATATATGTCATCGAATTTGTCACTAGTGCACAAAGAAGCCAAGCCGAGCACCAGAACAGTCTCACAGATAAACACCAGAACATCTCCAATGATCCAAAGACGAGCTGCTAAGGGGATAAGGGTCACAAGCACCTGAATACAAATAGGCTCAAAGCAAAGACAAATAATATGCATGGAAACAATACTCACATGAAGGTCGATAAGAAAGATACAAAAGACCCTGATCAAAATGGAATAGACAATAGGATCGACACCAACAACCCATAGGGTAATTAGGAAGTCCAACCTAAGAGAAACAACCAAGTTAGAACCCATATGGATTGTATAGGAAATATCAAACAAGAAAAGAAAACAATACTCATCTGATAGATAACAAAAACAAAGGGCTTATCATCAACACAGAGGACTGACAGACAAATTAAGATGAGAGAGACATCAATAAGGATACGACACCTAAGTCCCGACATAGGTAAGACGTTCAAAGCTAAAAGAAAGAGGTTAATTTGAAAAATCAAGGAAAAATAAGAATGATCAGCGCAAGTATAAGCAAATAAAAAATCAAACACAGAAGAAACAGATGAGTAATCAATTTGGGAACACTAATCAAGGAAACCAGAAGAAGCCAAAGTGTAACAACGATGAAGTCGACGAGGTCAACAAGTGCACAACCCTGGAGAATCAAAAGCACTATAGAGTCAACATAAATCAGAGACAAGATAATGAACAAGCCAACAAGGTAACATGATTGCAGTAATACTTGGGAGAATCCGAAGCGTGAGTGGATAATGATTAACACTGAGGTGTATCTTGTGAAAGTGGGATACTGGGGTTTGGGCGATTCAACATGCAACAAAAGTGGTCAGATCATAAGAGAACACTCATATATAGTTTGAGGGGATAAATATTTGATCTTTTTTGAGGCTATGGCAATGAAAGTAGACATGGATCGAGCTTTGACAGAGAAAAGGAAAAGGGTTGTGTTCCAATTAGACAACAAGACCTTGATTAACATCATGGTAGGTTGTGAAGACACATACCCAGGAACGCAGTGGGCATGCATTGTAGAGAGAAGTGGAAGATGAAAAGAAAGTTTGAAAGAGTGAAGTTCGTGCATATTAGAAGGTAGAAGGACAAAACGACACATGCATTAGTTAGGGTTAAAGTCTCTGAGAGTATGGTAATGGATAACTCGGACCAAAGTTGTAACTGGCTAAAGGCCCAGTTGTAAGTTCGGTTGTTTTTGTTTGTAGGATTGGCATTTTATATAAAAAACAAAATTAATTAAATGTTTTTTAAAATTAATATATGACTCGATTAAAAACCAACTAGCAAAACATAATCAAAACAATGATAAAAATAAAAAAAATCAATTATGATTGTTTGAATCGTAATATAGGTGGGTTTTTGTTATCGTCTCCACATGGAATGTCTGATATCTTGATGTTTGTCGTTCAATAGTTTATCGTTTCAAGAAAAAGGGTTTTCAAAGTTTTGTTCATAAATTGTCACGTTTTTAGTAGCAAAACTTATAAATTATAAAGTGTTTAATTAACAAAGTATATCAAAAGTAGTTTTCATCTACCCTAACTTATACGTATCCTTTCAATCTTGTATGTGAAATCGGATCCGATTAATATCGTCACATATTCTCTCAACATCATCTATCTCTAGAGCGGCGTCGTGAGAAATACCGTATTCATCGCTACACGATCTCTCCATATAACAACTAATATAGTAAGCTTAAAGTTCAACACAAAATAACTATCAACCATAGACTGATCTCTCAAATCTATAAATTGATAGATGAATATTTTAGGTCAAGTTTCACAAAATCTATGTCTAGATTTTACAAAATAAGAATGGATCATTAAGAATAAAAATATTCATCATATATTAATCATCACTTGTTCACATACAAGGCCAATTAAAAGAAATACATAAAGTTAATGGTAGACTACCTCTACCTTTGATACTAAGGAAATTAACTACCCATAACCATTGTAGTTTGCTTTATAAGTAATGAGAGAAGATGAATGAGCACCCACATAAAAGAGTCAAACTAGGATGCGAATCCAGCTTTTATTTGCAAAATATCACCTTTTGGTGAAGAAATGCTGAGAAATGAAGTTTCTAGGTGAAAAATGGATTATGATCCCCAAAAAGTGTGAAAAATACTTATATAGTACTTTTAGAATCTGTCAAGTTCGCCTAGCGAACTCCTTTTTTGCCCAGTGAACTCCATTTTATGACACCTGTTGTGCCTCTGAACAGTTAAACCGCCCCTGAGGATTTTACAAAATTCGTTGTGCGAGAAATCCTTCGCCTTGTGAACTACTTCGCTACAAGTTCACACAGCGAACTTATGGTCCTTTAGCTACTGACTTTAGTCTGAGATAGTTCGCTGGTCCTTTGCTGCAATCTCGCCCATAGAATATTCGCTACCAATTCGTCCAACGAACTTAGTGCTCTTTTCTTACTGCCATCATTCTGAGATGGTTTGTTGGGGCTTCGCCATTAGCTTGCTCAGCAAAAATTCACTGCAACTCCTCGCTGGATGTTCGCCCAACGAACATGCTGAATCTTTTCTTTTCCTTTGGCTTCCTTGTCCAATTATTTGTGTCTCACACTTTGATGTTTTATGTCTAGTTCATGCACAATAACACACAAATCAAAGCAACCAAAGGTATTTTCAACATTATTGAAGAATAACATGATAACATGGAGTAAATCCAACAAAACATAACAAATGAGATGAAAAATACCAATAAATATGATCAAATTAAAGCATGTTTGACATTCAACAATAATTTAATAAAAAAATCTTAATTAAATGGCTAGCAAAAAGAATTAATTAACAGAGAAAATAAAACAAATGTTTTGAAAGATGGGTTTGTGTTCAAATAAGAATTCAAACAAAAAAATTTTCTTTAATGGTATTTAAGTAAGTAAGGCTTAACGAAATTTTTACCCAAATAACCATTTTTTTTCAAATAAATTCCCTGATAACCTAGTTTTTCAAATATTTCTCAAACTAACTCATTTTCAAATAATAAAAGTATAACGCATAGCTGGTGTCAGGAGAATTGGAGACTTCACTTAAATTATAATGGCGACTGCATATGGTGTTGTCAATCCAACTGACACTTACATGCAAATGTTTAATGGTGGTGCCAATTGAATTGGCGTTAGTGCGTATTTTGGGTTTTTTCCTATTATAAATAGAGGTGTCTTCTACCATTTACTTTACACCTCTTTTCATATTCTTATTTTTTTTCTTCAATAGCTCTATCATGATCGTTAAGAGATATGGGCATGTGTGTTATTCGCCAACGAAGCCTCTGAAGAAAATGCGTTTTGGAACATCCAAAGTTTCGAGCATCTTGAAAGGA